CACTCCAGCACTAGGAGCTGGGGCTGGTCTAAAGCAGGATGGGGCCAGCCCAGGAGCCTCTGTGCCTTGGCAAGGGGTTTGACGGACAGCTTGCAGTAGTCTGTCTGTATACAGCCTGCTAGGCACATGCTGAACATGGAGGCTTCTGGCTGTTCAAAGGGGCTTTGGTGGAAGCACCACAGAACTCCAGAAGAATAAAACCTCGTCACTCCACAAAATCCCAGCTGAACGCAAGCTTCCTCTTCCACTGATGAAAGACAAGTGACTTAAGACCTAGAAAGAGCAGCAGAGGAGCAATGCAAGCCCAGCAGTGCAGGGCTCAGTGCCAGCAGCCGGCTGAGGGCCCCCCCGGAAGGACTAAGTACCTACACACTGGGGCAGTGGGGTCTTCCAGAGACAACCACTACTGCACAGAGCACATCTGGGCAGGAAGCAGGGGCCTGGATGGTAGCCCAGGATCTACTGGAAGGCCCTATGGAGAGAGCGAGAGGGAGACAGCAGCAGCCTGGAGTCCTGAGGGGGAAAGGCCCAGATGCTGAGAGCCACAGTTAGAAACTGTGGGGCTGCTGAGGAGGGCACAGCTAGTTCCACTCCCAAACTGCGTCTGTCCCAGCTCTGGGCACTAAGAAGACAACCTCATGATGGCAATAAAAGCACGGGCTTCAAGAGTGGGAACCACTGGAAGCAGGGGCCTCTGGACCCTTGGAGGATAACGCAGACAGTGGGAAGCTGCGTTGGAGTGCAGGTCTCCAGATGCCTGACTGGACCTGCTACAGCGTCCAGGGCCAGCTCCTCCTGCAGAACACAGCCTGGCCCCGACAGCCACACTGGGCAAGGGATCCCAACTAGGTCCACTCTCCAGGTCCCAAGTGAGCCCTGTCATCTCTGGCAGCAACTGAGAAAACCAGCAAATAGACCTCATGCCCCAAATTGAAGTTCTCTGTACTAAACTGTGGGAGGAGGAGTCCTTGCGTGAGCTCCAGTGAGACTGGTCCTGGGCAGGAGAGATCCCCGGGGGGCCTGTGCTGACGGAGGCGCTGCCCTGTCTGCTCCAGCAGCCCCGGCTGGTGGCACCATATGCCTGGGTGGTAGCCACTTTAGAAGCAGGCGGGCAGAAATGAAATGCCCATTCCACAACTTTGGCACTGAACCCACGGGGTCACAAAACCTAGGAAGAAGAGGACGAAGGCCACCCCAGGTTCTCTCGGGTCTCCCCCAGGAAATCGAGCTAAATGGGTCCAAGGCCAGGGAGACGAAGCCAGGCCCATCAGCAGGCAGCTACCCGAGGAGGTAAAGCCCAGAAGGGGGCAGCCAGCTCCTTGGCTTCCTTGTCTCAGCAGCTGGGGTGGGGAAGAGGGTCAGGGTCTTCCTGTTGCCTGAGCCCCCGCACTTGTACCCTCCCCCATCTAGGAAAGGAGTGGACAAGTTGCAGCCTCTGTGCTGTTACTCTGCTCACTAATTAAGTGGGACTCCTGGTGTTCTGTTCTGGGTTGGGCTTTCCTTATGGCAGGATGCTAGTTCTGCTCTGAGCCTTAAGGCCCAGCCTGCAGCCAGCTGAACACAACCATCTGCAGGCCCCTGTGACTGTCACAGGCAGTCACTGACTGTGCCCACAGCCTGAGGCTCTGCATGGGGAGGCACACCTGGCTCCACAGCCTTCCAGGAGCCACACAGGCCTCTCAGCCTGCAGGTAGAGCAGACAGTACAAGTGTGCAGTGTCAACTCAGCAGCAGAGGAACACAATAGCTCCAGAGGATCAGGACACCTCAGGAGACACACCCACAGCTTTTCAGGACCGCCAGCAAGGCCAGGTGGTTCTGCTAAGTGCCTGCCTGTCTCCTCACCCCCCACTGCATGCACAGATGCATCTGTACACAAGCATGTCTGCAAGACGAGTGCCCCGTTCAGCAGTGGTGTTCCCTGCAAGTTCAGTCGCTAAACAGTACACACCTTTCATTAAGAAACGGTCCCATAAACTCAAGGTTGAGAAGCAGGAGGAAGAAGAAATGCAGAACTGCTTTGCTCAGGACGAACGAAAAGGGAAGATGCAGAAAAAAACCCAGAATGGAGTTAGCTGTGTCTCTGGACGCCTATGGCACTCAACAGACTTAATGGGCACTTGTGGGCCGGGCAGTGTGCTGGGGCTGGGGAGCTACCCAGAGCTGTTTGCTTCAGGCAAGCCCTTGGGCTTTCAGAGAAACCTGACCCAACGCCTCAACCTCAGAAGGGAGTGGCTGGGGTCCTGTGAGACACCATGCACAGCGTGATGCCTATGATGCTAACTGCAGTTCTTTCAGATGTTTGTGCCTCGACTGATGTCCCCCACTCCTTTGGGGCTCAGTAGGTTCACAAATACGAGAAACTCGGACACGGGTTCCTCTCTTCACCTGCTCCCGACTGAAGGAGAAGCCAAGTCTGCTAACACTCGAAACGCCCCGCGGAGACCCCCGGAGCGCCTGGGTCCCTGTGGGCGGCGGCCTCCGGGCTCCCTCCCGCTCCGCGGCCCCCGCTGACCTTGAGTGAGGCCAGGTGCGCGATGTCGGGGCTGAGCTCTCGCAGGCAATTGTCTGCGGCCGCCAACTCGCTGAGCAGGGGCAGCGCGCCGGGGCTGAAGAGCGCGGCGGGGAAGGCGTCCAGGCAGTTGCCGGTGAGGTTGAGGCTCTGCAGGCGCGGGGCGCAGCGCGCCAGGTCGGCGGGCAGCTCGCGCAGCCGGTTGCCGCTGAGGTTGAGGCTCTGCAGCTGCGGCAGCCCCGGCGGCTCCGCGGGGCCCAGGCCCTGGCCCGGCGGCAGCGCCTCCAGCGCGTTGCCCGACAGGTCGAGCACGCGCAGCGCTAGCAGCGGGCCCAGCTCAGGGCTCAGGCCGGGCCCCAGCGCATTGCGCCGCAGCACGAGGCTGTGCAGCTGCGGCAGGCCCTGCGCCAGGCCCGGCCCCGGCGCGCGCAGGCTGCCACAGCCGCTCACCTCCAGGTAGTGCAGCAGCGGCAGCGTGAAGAGCCGTGGCGGCAGCCGCCCGCCCGCCGCCCGCACCCGCTCCTCCAGCCCCGGGCCCGTCAGCAGCAGCTCGCGCCGCCGCTCACGCTCCGCAAGCTCCAGCTCCGGCCAGGGCTCGGACACAGCCGCCGCCGCCATCGCGCCGCCGCCTGCCGCCGCGCGCGCCGGGGCTTCCGGGGCGCAGCGCGCCACTTCCGGCCAATGCCGGAAGAGGTCATAGAGAGCCCGTCCGATGGCTAGAGAGTGGCGGTGCGTGCCACCGAGAAAGAGCCCCAACGTTCGCGGCTAGCGCGGCGCGCGGGGCCCTGTAGGGCGTGGTGGGGCCTCCGCGGGGCAGAGACAGTCCGCATGCATGCGCCCTGGAGAGCCGCGGGCCACAGGCGGACGCCAGTCACCTCCAGCTACACCCCGACTCTAGAATACGGGCTGGATGCAGTGTCTGCATCATTCCTAGTGATTGGAGGGATAGGCCGATTGATGGTGGGGAGGAGAAGGTAGGTGACGGCAGGACGGTGACAAGCACTGAGAGCTGAGCCTCGGGAGTTCTACCCTGGAGCTGCACCCCAGCCCGATTTGGGTTTTATTTTGAGACAGGACCAGGCTGGCCTCGAGCTTGTGGTCCTGTGCCGCTGCCTCCCAGTCGCCGGGACTGCAGCACCAGGGGTGTGTCTAGAGGACGTGGGTTCTCTCCAGGGCGTAGGAGGGCCCCAGCTCCACTCTAGGGCCAGAAACTGAGGCTGAGTCAGCCATGTGAGCGGGTCAGAAGCTCCGAGGTCTCTCAAGGTCCAGACAGCCTCCCAAGTTCCTCTGCACACGCTCAGACCAGGGAGTCCCTCTGAAGGGGCGTGGAGGCAGCAGAGGCTTCAGATTTACCCAGGGTGGGCCCTGCCGCTGGGCTGTGCAGTGTGAGTGTTGGAACCCAGCTCCCAGGGCTGTCACTAAGGACCATACTCCTGGCCGTGGGTTCTGGAATGGTTGCAATGAGGCCAGGATAAGGGCTCATGGGACAACTTCTGGGACTTGCCCCATCCCTGCAGCAGCAGCTCACAGGGTCCCTAATCCCTGCCTGACCTTCCTAACACAGCTTGGACCTCCCCAGCTTTCCAAATGAGGACTCTGGCCAAGGTTCCACTCTTGCTGGGGAGCAGGAGCTAAGTGACAGTGGGGGCAGGTAGAGACTTCAGGGGACGAGCCAGTGCTCAATGCTGTCATGAATGATGAGGGGATGGGATCATTTCAGAACAAATTTCATCTTCAAGAACCAACAGGCAACGACATAATGGAGAACACCTAATTCGAAGCGTGCACTGTGAAGGCACGTGGGTGGGTGTGAGCCCTGTGTATGTGCTGGAGCCTCAGACCCCAGGCCGCTATCTTGGGCAGCAAGTGGTGCCTTTTCCAGACACCTTCCCACCTCGCACTCTACAAAGCACACGCAGCATTAGCCAAAGTCAGCTCCAAATTTTGAAGCAATACATTTGAACTTAAGTTTTAAGTTCACCTGTACCTGTGTAAAGGACAAAGCTGCACATACAAGACTTTAACATGGGAATAATTATAAAATCACTTATATAATCAACTCACTAAGAAAGCTGACAAACCGAGAAACCACTCTGCACCATGTGGAGAAAACGCTGCATATGATCTTATTTGAAGATCAAATAACCTTGTTGGTTGGTAGAAAAGGCGGAAGACAGGGGGACCACGCGGTGCAACCTCCCCTGGGCGCAGCTGGAGGACACAGGACATTCTGAGACTAGTTAGTGGACACACTGAGCATTCTGGGGTTTTCCCACAGGAGGGAGCTGGTCAACAATTCAGTCTTCTAGCTTCTCCAGCACAAGCCCATTGGACGACTGGTCCAGCAGCTGGACCCCAATTGCCTCCCTTCTCTGTGGTTTCCAACCTGCCACCCTCAGTTTCAGGCTGAGCGACATGTGTGATCACTAATGTCAAAGTTATTTACAGAGTGCTTTTCAATTATAATCTTGAAATAAAAGTGACAAAACACTTAGTGATCTTTTTATTAATATACTCAAGGTGAATTAACCCTTAAGCCCTAAAATAATAACAAAAAATATATTATTTATTTTATAATTCTGGTACCTGAAATAAAGACAAATAGAAAACTGTTAAAACATTAAAAAGTTGCAAATTTTCATTAAAAGTATTTACATTTCTAATGTGAAATTTATAGGTACAATTTAAAATTTTTAAATTATATTAATATCCTGAAATAGAAAATAATAAATACAATTAAATATCCAGAACCTATTCATAAATGAAAATTCAATTATTAATTAGTATTCTGAATTTAGATATTTATTTATGAATGGCTGAGGGATCTTGTGGTTCCATTTATATTTTCTCCCTTTATTCCTGGACCCTGGATAGTGTGTAACTGTGTGAAAACTTCAGTGGCCACTCCTCACTGCTAGGATTTCAGCAAAGCACATGATTCTTCTGTCGCCAGCAAAAGAGCAGAGGAGGAGCCCAATTTTGTTGATCAATCACTAAAAATGAAGTATTTTTACAAATATCTTCAAGTTAGAGCAGAAAACATTACATGTATCTTTCTGAAGTTTTGTTCAAAGAGAAAAGAATAATTCCTTGGTTAACTTTTCTCAATTTACTTAAAGAAGTGTCTCACCTGTACTTGGGGGGGGGCGGCAGTTAGAAACCACGGCCGCCATGTTGGAAGTGAAGGAGCATGTCGGACGTCCTGGCATCCATGCTGTGCCGTGTCCCACACGGTTTACGTTCTTTCTCCCACACCTGAAAGATGTCTAATAGGTAGGCCTTGTTCTCACCCAGTACTCCGAGACAACCCTAATGGAGGTACTAATTTGGGAACTGAAGTGATTAATGGTTATTAACACACCCAGGAGTCGGGGCTCATGAGGCTGTTGGTTACCATACCTTTTGTGGTTTCACATGGTTGGGAATTAAAAACACTCATACACTAATCAAACCATACTCATTTCCTCAGTCCAAACACTCCTAAGTGGCATTCTGAAAGCCTGCTGTGTGGCCTCAGGGAGCAAGCACAACCTTGGCCACTGGTGGACTGGGCACCTGGGTGCAGAGACAGTACAATGAGGTGAGGATGTTCTGGGGCTTTTCCGGCAGGTTCCAGATGGTCCTGGGCCTCTCCACGCAGCTGTGGGAAATAGCAGGTCTAACAAGGAAGCCTAGGCCTCCTGTGGGGAGGGTGGAGGAGCTATGGAGGAGGCTGCTTCTGAGGGCTGTGTCATCTCCTGAGCAGCGCTTTTGTGTGAACTGCTGGAAACAGGTGGACTTGTGGTCCCAGGTACAGTATGGCAAGGAAGGATGGAGGACAGACCTGGCCGAGGGGCTGGGCCTGCGGAATACATGGGATGCTTCTGGTGGGTCAGCAGACGTGGAAGATGCTGCAGGCAGAAACAAAACAGGTTTGGAGACGGGCGTCCTGTGGCCAGGTGAGTGCAGGGTCACTGGGAAGTCACTCCACACTCCTTCCTCAGACACTGCCAGTGCAGAGCAGCTGCAGCCTCAGGCAAAGGCATGACCAGCCTGTGGCAGGAAGCAAGCCAGGAGCAGGGCATGTGCTGACGGGGTCATTTCAGGATCTGCTTTCCAGGTTTTCTTCTTAACCATTTCTTCCTGTCACAGTGGACACAGTCCTGCAGACACTGGCCTTGCTTCCCTGTGACTACGTGGGCTGAGTGGAGACTGATGGGCTTGAGGAAAGGCACAGTCAGATGCTTGTTCTGAACTCTGCCCTCCCAGGGCCATGGGGCACTGTAGTGAGCTCGTGCCCTGCACAGTCTGCCATGTGCAACGAGGACTCATGTGCCAAAGGCTTCGGTGACTTTTCCAGGCAGCAAGGAGGAATATGCTCCGTGTGCCGATCTTCCCCGAGCAGTGGCTTCTGGCCCATGTGCCTCTGTCCTAATAGAAATCAGGACTGGAGCTCAGCACGCAGGGCGGCTGGGCCCCGACGGTGGGGCTCTTTGGTCAGATTCACATACATCACTTGTAGGACAGCAGAGAGCTGGCACAGGAGAGGCCTAGGGCAGCAGGGACAGAGACAGGGCGGGTGCGTCCAGAAGAGTTTTAGGAGAAATGGTTTGGGAACAGTTGCCCAGTCCCTGGTGGACAGGGCACGGAAGATCCCGTGTCACCGCTTTGTGTGTGTCCTGCTGGAGCTTTTGCTCAGGCCTCCCTTTGGGGTGGGGATCTTGCTTCCAGACTTGGCTCCTGAGCTGCCTGACTTGGTCCCTGCGAGGCCTTTTCCTGTGGCATAGACACACACGACATGGGACTACATTAGGATGGTGACTCATGCCCATGGTGGCAGTGTGAATGGCAGGAGGAACCCACCCTGAGCAGCTGGGCCTGAGAGGCCTGGGACCATGTCTCCCAGCCTGGAGGTGTCAGCACAGTGGACAGAGGTGGAGTTATGGTGTCTCCTGAAGACAAGAGAGGTGAGCTGTCAGGTCGAGCACCTCACCCTAATCAGGGCGTTACCCACGCAGGGGATACCTGGGTGGTAACTGTAGGCTGGAGGAGGTGGGTCACTGGGGGTGGATTTTGTCCCTCATGAACTGAGCTCAGTCTGTCTCCCCAGCTGCCATGTCCTGGGTTGCCTTCCTCCACCACAGGATGGCTGCTTGCCTCAGGCCCAGAGCAGTGGAGTCGGCCATCTCTGGACTGAGACCTCAAACTGTGAGCCCCAAATAAACTTTTCCTTCTCTAAAATTGTCCCCGTCAGATTTTTTGGTCACAGAAGCAAAAAAGCTGACCACAATAAGTGCAGCGTGCGGAGCTGTGCAAGGCCACAGGTGCAGGTGCTCAGGTGGCAGCAGGAGGACAGGACAGTCTCAGGGGTGCAGAACAGGGCCAGTTACTCGACCGTCATTCTAAGAACACAGTCCTCGGCACGCAGCAGGTGGCTGTGCACTGAGGCAAGCCTCCTGGCTTAGGGCCTGGGCCCTGTCCACCTATCTGTAAGAACTGGACGGGGATGACCTCTGCTCGAGCGCCTCAGCGTGGAGCCAGCACAGACCTGCTGCCGCAGACACCACCCCCTCCCTACGCAGCACGCCTGAGCTAAGCGTGCAGAAGTCTCCAGCATGGCAGGTGGCTAATAAACCAGACGGTGGGTGGCTCTGCAGGGTCTACCTCTTTGTTCCCAAATCCTTCAGGCAGTCACACAGGCAGTGCTGAGGAGCAGCATGGCACCCAGGAGTGCCTGGCCTTGTGGATCACTTCTCTGGGACCTGGGAGAAGCAGCCACAGTGGGCGGAGAGGGGCTGTGGCATGATTGACTTGCTCCTCATTAGGGAAGCGGAACACAGCCAGGGACACTGATCCAAACGGCCCCAAGGCCTGCATGGGCATGAACCTCACCTGGGAGCACAGCCTGGGCCTTGTGCAGGATGTGTGTCTTGCGTAGGTTCCTCGTGCAGCCGGCAGGGCCCATCAGGTGCACCTTCCATGCCTGCAGTGAGAGGAGGCAGTGGCATGCCCACCTGGCCACCAGGACGACTCACTGCTCTGTTGACACGGAGCTCCAGAGCTGCAGAGGCCCTGTGCCCTGCTTGTGCCCAGACCCTGGCCACCAGGATGACTGAGCTCCAGAGGTCCTGTGCCCAGCCCCTGTGTGCTACCACAGGGGGAGGCCCTCGTGAGAGTGTGCACATGTGTGTGGTTGGGGGCAAGGCAGAGCACCCCCCGGGCCTGCTGGGCCGCACTCTCCTCATCTTCGCTTCTCCTAAGCACCTCACCTGAGGCCCTAAGGAGTGTGCACTCACACAGCCTGGCCAGAGGGTGCTCTGGGCTCCCTCAGGGCCATGAGGGGTGCTGCTGGGGTACACAGAGCATGTGCCACACACACAGCCCTGCAGGAGGGCCTGGCTATCCCCAGTCTCTACCCGAGCTCCCTGCAGCACTGTGCTGTGCTCTCCGAGGTGCCCCATGTGCATTTTACATGTATTTTTGTGGTGTTGAGGATGGAAGCCAGGGTCTTGGGCATGCCAGGAAAGTGGTCTTCCACTGAGCCACACCCCTCACCCCAGACCACCATCTTAAGACACAGCCACTGGTCATGCGACCCCGTGTCAGGGCTGCATTCTGCCTTGCCCAGCCCACTCCGTCAGACCTTGCCCTGGGCCCTCCAGGCCCACAGTCCTTCCTGTGGCTAAAGTGAGGGTGCCTCCCAGGCTCACCTGGCTGGTCAGCAGCAAGGGCACATGGCTCATCCCTCCCCTGCTGGCTTGGAGGGAGGGGGCTGCATGCTAAACCTATGGGTAGGGCTACTGGGCCGAGGGGTCCTGGAGCTGGCAGAGGCCCTGGCTGACAGCTGGCAGAACAGGGACACAGCTGGATGGCCACAAGGAGATATTCCTGCCAGCTGCTGGAAAGTGGCTGCTTCCCTAGCCAGGCCCGCAGCCCGGCCAACAGTGAGAAGGCGGCTCAGGGAAGCCAGGGAGGTCAATCACCTGCTCCTGCTGTGGATCCTGAAGCCACGCCATGAGCACAGGCAGGCAGTGTGGGGAGGGCACTACTGGTAGGAGCCGGCAGGAGCTTCTGGCTGCCTTGCAGCCACTGCCAACCACAAGGGCGGCACTGATGCCGGTCAGGTGCTGGGGAAGGAGGCCACTAGCTGCCTGCTGCAGACAGTCGCCCAGAGGGACTATGGGCACCACAGGGGCAGGTCAGTGAGGCCGCCATCAGAATGGAGCAGCAGAGGTTCTGGGTTCCAGGCAGGAGAGTGCTCCTCCACGTGTGAGACCCATTAACAGTAAAGATGAGAGCACACCAAGGCTAGTCCCAGGAGGGGCAGCAGGGGACAGTACAGCAGCTGCGGCCTTGCTGTGCTCTTCTTGCCACATGGATGATTATAAAGATCTGGGAGACACTGTGTGATCATGGAACTCAGTTTACACGTTTACTGTGGGAGGCGTGATCAACTGGAGCTAAGCCAAGTGACCTGGGACAGCGGATCCTACTTGTGTCACTTTCAGACTAGGTGTGGAACAGTTCGAGTCTCCCTGAACAGCACTGACTCCCTGGGGGAGGGGGGCAGGAGGCTGCCCTGCATGCAGGGGCAGAAAACAGGGTCCATCTACCATGCCCTAATTATGTCTCCAGGGTCACTGGGAGCGGGGCTCTCAGGATGGACAAAGGACACAGACATAGGCAGCAAGGTGAAGAGGCCGTGGCCAGGAGAGTGAGGAGGAGACTCTTGGGTCACTGAGCAGCCTGGCAACAGGACCCACCCAGCAGCAGTGAGGAGCCTGTGTGTGGGAGCCCGGCCGGGGCACATGGCACCAGGCAGGAGAAGCACCTGTGCCACTAGGGCTAGGCCAGAGGCTGGGGAGCCCAGTGCAGAGGAGTGGGTTGGCGGAGGCAGGGTCTCCACTGCAGTGTCCCCACATGCCCAGCCCATGCTGCTGCCTGGACCTCCTTTTCTGACATCTCCTTCCAGTCCCTCTGGAAAACGCCACTGACTTGGCTAAGGGACTGAGGTGCTCCTGTGCCTTTCTCAGGCAGAATACAACCTCAGGTGGTGAAAGAATAGGTGTGCTTCTGCTTAAAGAACATTCTGGCTGTGGATGGAGGAGGGGCAGAATCAGAACACTCTGCCGCCTCCGATGGAAGAGCCCGCCATGCCCACCCCAGCTCTGCACCTGATGAGCACAGAACACAGGAGGACACGCTCAGAACATTCAGCCTACAGAGACCCCAGGGGCCGCAAGGCCTTTCCTCATCAGAGGCTGGAAGCAGAGAGAGCTGTTGACAGCAAGGTGTGCTCCATGCCCTGGGACATGGGTGCTCCACAGTGTGCCCCAGGGACACTGGGCACAAGGCCCAGTCAGCAGGTGCTTTGTGAAAGCTCTGCACTAAGACACCTGTGAGGGTCTGGGATTGTGGCTCAGCGGTAGAGCGCTCGCCTAGCACAAGTAGGACCTGGGTTCAATCCTCAGCACCACATAAAAAAATAAAAAATAAAGGCATTGTGTTGTGTCCATATACACCTAAAAAAAAAAAAAAAAGACACCTGTGCGTAAGACCAGGCGCCGTCTGGACCCCGATGAGAGGCGGGGAGCCAGTGGGGCTGAGAGGGGACAGGCTAGGGACAGTGCTTGCAGGGCACCTGAGAGCTCTTTGTACTCTTTTGTGTACTTTGTGAGCATTTGAAACTTGCAGGTTGGAGGAGGGAAGAGCGAGCGAGGGAGGGAGTGCACCAGGCAGGGCGGGTAGGACCCTGGCAGAGTGTGCTTGGGGATAGTATCTTTCCTGCTTTATGTGAGCTTTCTGTGGTTGAGGGACTGCTTGGTTTTAGCCATCTGCTGGGACACAGAGAGTCCAGCATCAAGACAGCAAGTGGATGGCAGGAAACAAGAACTGAGAAAGTGGGAGAGGAGAAAAGCGGGTCTCCGGGGCCGGCCTGCTCTGTCCGGCACACAGAGGTAGCACTAGCACACTGCGCAGAGCCTGGATGCCTCTGTCACCTGAGAAGGGAGACGTGGGAAGAGGTGGTGGGTATGGAAGAGTTGCCCCTCCCCACCAGCCCTCAAGTCACACTGCAGCATGGGCAGGGTGGAGAGGAGCGCTTGGTCTGGGGTAAGAGGTAGGCTGCCTCACCAACTGGCCCAAGTCTTCTTCACCAATAAACCCAGGGCCAGTGTGTTACAGACCCTGCCCAGGGGCCCCAACAGATGAAAGCAATGACCCCAAACCCCCAAACCAGGTGATGCTGGAATCCCAACCAGGTGAGACTCTTCAAGTAAACTGTGGGAAAAGGTGAGGGCAGGAAGTCAGGGGAAGAGGCAGGTGAGTGGCACCCTGCTCCGACAGGGTCACCCTGGACACCTCAGCTGCGGCCAGCACCAGCACCGCCGGCAGCGGCTAAGGGTGTGCTCACCTCCATGGTGCTCACTCCCCCGGGGAACGCCCCTCACCTCTTCTCCAGGTGTGAAATTCTCATGGCACAAGGGACACCGGTTGGCCAGCTTCTCTGATTTGGCAGCTGAAATGATTGAAATGGAAAAGACTGGGCGACTTGTGGCAGTTGGAGCAGGGCGCAGGGACTGCCTGCTTGTCTGGCAGACACTAACCACACACAGGTCCCTGCGACACCCTGCTGCAGCTGCCCTACCCAGGGGACACGCAGTGGCTGGGGACACTCACGGTTGCACTCCTTCGCCTTTATGTGCCTGGGCAGCTCTTCTTTCCGCACGGCCTCGCTGCAGCGGTGGCATTTGCCAAACCCGTCTTTCTGGTCACATTCTGTCAGCAGGTGCTCCGTCAGGCTGGAGATCTCTACCACCTGGACTCCGAGACACAGGGTGCTGCTAGATGCTGGTCTGTCCTGCCAGGGCCACCTGCAGAGCTGGGGCCCGTAACGCAGGACAGCTTCTCTGTCATTCCACACGAAGGCAAGCCAGAGAACCTCTGTGTTGTGTGACTCTAGTCATCTGTCACACTTGTCATGTCACCTTGTACCACTCAAGGTTGTGCCAAGAGGCAGGCACGGGGGCTGCAGTTGAGTATGACCAGCTCCTGGGGCAGAGCAGCCCGCGGCTGAATGTGTGCCCTGGGCTCGAGGCCTGGCTCCCCAGCGTTGCTTTCTCTCTCTTTTTTTTTGTGGTCCTGAGGGTGGACCTGGGGGTGCTCTGTGTGACCAGCGTCCACCAGGGGCAGCTGTATTCCCAGCTCCTCTGAGACAGGGTCTCACTCAGTTGTCTGGGCTGACCTTGAACTTGTGATTCTCCCTTCTGTTCCTGGGTAGCCCCCAGTAGTTGGGGTTACAGGCGTGTGCCACCATAACGGGCAACGATTTTTTGGGGGGAGTGTACTAGAAATTGAACCCAGAACTTCAAGCCAGCCAAGCAGCACTCTGCCACTGACCTGTGCCCCAGCCCGTCCCCAGCACTTCTAAGGATGTGCACAGAAGCAGGGTCCTCTCACCCGACACCTTTGGCAGGAATGACTAGTGTGCCCTCTAGAACTTAGTGCTAAGGCTCCACTCACTGGGGGGGTCAGTCTGTGCTCCCAGGGGAGGGGCAACAGCTCTGAGGGCAACTCTGCCCACGAACCCCTTCCTGTGGGCCTGAGTCTCAGAGCAAAGGTCAGATGTCCACTGTCCACTTGGTTCTCTAAGAAAGAAGGCCTGTCACTGTAAAACCTAACTGCAGTGGATGTGCCTAGCCACACCCTCGGCCCTTTTTATATTTAGAGACAAGGTCTCACTGAGTTGCTAAGAGCCTTGCTAAGTTGCTGAGGCTGGCTTTGACCTCTCAATCCTCCTGCCTCAGCCTCCCAAGCTGCTGAGATTATAGGCATGTACCACTGTACCACTGTACACTCTGCTGTGTTTCTCAAGTGTAAATGGTGTCACGGATCAATGACATGTTGGACCCCAGCCTAAACTTATAATGAGTTGCTGTCTTCATGGTTTTCCGGGCTGGCTGATGACACTGACCGTTTCTGTACTAATTGTTCACAGACAACAAGGCTCTACTGTGTTGTCCACTGCTGTCTTGGCATGACCCCTGCCCTGTGTGTGCCTTGTCCAGTCACATGCCACTGCCATCACGACCTCCGGGCCACCCTGAGGCAGAGAGGCCCAAGCTACAAATGGCTCTTCCAGTAAAATCCCAAAAAGAATTCCACCCACTAGGGGCCCCTGGAGGCTCCGTGGAGGACCTGCTGCCATGCCCTTGCTGACAGCTTGAAGGTACCAGAGCAGCCATCACCAAAATTCCCCGATGGCAAGTCAGAGTGACCTCTTCAGAGGGGACTGAGTGCAGGAGCCAGCAATGTGGTGGGCAGGCAGGCAGGGGACCACCACTGCAGCCACTCCCTGGACAGAGCCTCCGGTGGGCCAGCAGCACATGACCAAGCACAGGACAGCACCCTCCTGGAGGGGAGTGATCGTGGAGGGTCTCATGTGGAGGCAGCAGCTCCCCTCCTAGAAGCCATCACCTCCAGCAACACCATGTAGACCCCAGGCAGCGGCAACTCGGCCACCAACAGCCTGGGACCCTCTCTGGGGGAGCGCCACTCCTTTCTGTTTCCAAAATAGTTACTTTACTCTCAGGGGAGAAAAAAGGAGAGCCGCTGTGGAGGAGAAGACGTTGGAAACTTAGAGCAGGGTTCCTTAAAGAGGACAGAGGACGAGCCACGGACTGGTGAGGGAGCCCTGCAAGCAGATGGCGGAGACCGGGAGCAGGTGCCCGGTTCCTCCACACAGCAAGGCTCAGGCTCACGCGTGTGGACGACAAAAGCCAGGAACAGACTGGCTGCTCAGGACAGGAGACCACAGGCCCTTCACAGAAGAGGACGCCGAGGGCCAAGGACCCAGTGGCACTGCGCTTCACACCACAGGGCACTGGGGTGGAGGCCTCCAGGTGTGCATGCAGGTGCCCCCTCCCAGGTGGCCTCTGCCTCTGGGGGCCACCAGCTGGCATGGCCACTCTGCACTACTCCATGGCCCTGCTTGGCAGCCGAGCGCCCGTGGCCCAGCAATCCCCGCAAGGCGCATGGGCACTCAGATGCCACCGCAGAGGCTTCACAGGGGCCCCCGCTGCCTGCAGCTGGGCCACAGCTGGGTGCTCGACACCTGCCAGGCACTCGAGCCTGGGTGTGGCAGAGCGGGTGCCCATCCACCTGGCACGCAGGGCAGCACGCTGCAGGGTCCCCCTCTCTGCAGGCCAGGGCCGCACAGGCCGCCCGCCACTGCTCTTCTCAGGACTCCCCGCGAAACTACCAAGACGCGGGACAGCTCCGTGATGTGGCCTCTCAAAAGCTGGCATGCACGCCAGCGCAGGGCCGCCGGGGCCAGCGCCTCACCTGTCTGCAGTGGTCGCATCTGGTCAGCATGAGGCAGTACTTCCAGTAGTGCAGGTCCAGGCCCTCTTCTGTGAAGGACTCGCTCCTCTCCCCACAGAAAATGCAGAGGCTGAGGGAACAGAAGCAGGTGGAGGCCAGGCCCTCGCCCGGAAGAAGCTCCGGACCCCTCCACCCGACGGCCTGGGCTTCCTCAGGCAGTCCTTCCACCCCTGACCTGCCAGGTCAGGGGTGAGCTCAGGCCCCTCAGTCGGAGGAGTGCTGGGGTCACTGACACACAGGAAGGGACTTCCCTATGTCTCCTGCATATCGGTGCTGGTCACTGAGTGGTGAAGGGCACTTCACAGCCATAGGCCTTCTGACAAACAGGGTGACTTCTGTGGACCAAGAAGGGACGGTGGTCTTGCCGGGCTCAGCTGAAGCTCATCAGCTTAGGGCAATTTTCCAGGCTTTAAAAATCATGGGAGAGAGCCCATAATCGATGGCCCAAGTGAGCCAGGAGGAGGTGTCGGTACTCAGTGCTCCTGGTGGGTCCCTGTGGCCCCACAGGCAGGCCAGGGCAGTACTCACTTGTCCAGGTAGTGGTTATCTGGAATTTCCGGATCCTCAGGTGGGACTGCTTTCCTTCCTTGAAGGTTAAGAGAGAACGTGAGCCAGCTCTGTGGAGAAGTGCCTGCAGCTCAGGGACAGCCCCCGGGAAATGACTTTCTAAAAAGGCAGAGCTGCTCCACACACAGCCGAGGGTGTGCGACGTGCTGCTGGCCCTCCCTGGCACTGCTGTGGGCCCTCGGGGTCTCTAGGTAGCCTCTGGGTTGCAAATACCTACCCTGATTCTTGGGCCTCACGGTATCGATGTCCTTCTCCTAGGACACAAAACAGAAGCATCAAGGACAAGTGCTGAGGTCACTGTGGGCCACAGTCCACCTGGGCTGGTGCCCACAAAGGGACACAGACATAGCCCTGTGCTGGCTCTGGCCCTGAACAGCTCCGTGAGTCGGCCGGCCACATCTGTCTCCTCACTTGTAAACACAGGTGTGAGTCCACATGCCTGGGGGCAGCCCGAGGAGCGGCCACCCACGTCCAGCACAGTGGCAAAGGAAGCTCCTCCTGCCCCCTTCGCCCAGCTCAGCAAGTGCTCTGTGGCCCCCGCTCCCCTGCAGGGTGTTTCCCTTCCCCACTGGTGACCGTGCCTTCTCCCCTTTCACACCTGTGCCAGACCCACCCTGTTTGCTGTGCCCGGTGCTCAGGGCGGCAGGCGGATGCAAGCAAGCGCCCCGCACACACTGGTGACTGAGCTTCGCCCACAGGCGACCTCCCGACTCGCTGACGTTCTCTTTCTACGGGAAACTTTCCTTCAACTTCAGGAACTGAATCACAACTAATTTCAATTCCAGAAGCAGGGCAGCCTGGAAGGAGCCCGTTTGTATCTGACCAAACCGAATCCAGGCCTCCCACTCAGGACGCCGTTCGACTGGATGGTGACCCCAAACCTTGCTCAGCAATCTTCAGATTTGGGTGCACGTTTTCACTCTGCCTCTGGAGGAGGCAGGGAGCTCTCTCGCTTCCCATTTCCCTCACCTGTCTCTTCCCTCCATAATCCTGACAGCAGAGCAGAATATTCAACCAAAAACTCCACGTCTAATTCCATCTACTACCCAGCAGACTTTTAAAAAAATCAACCCCCAAACCAATTCAGGAACATGCGAGAACAGCGACTGTCACCTGCATGACTAACTCCCACGCCAGCCAAGCCCTGCGCTGCCCCCATCACCTGCACAACCCACGGTCAGTCAAGCACCCGTTGGTACCCAGGGAATTCCAACTGAAAAACTCTGGCAGATGGGCCAGCTGCCCACCTGGACGTGGGCCTGCGTCTCCTGCAGTGCGGCCAACTGCCCCTGCAGAACTTTGATCTCTTCCTTCTTCTGTTTTTCTGCTTCTTCTGTGGCTGCTCTTTTCTGTGCCTGGTTAAAAAAAAAAAAAA